AGAGGGTAAGGTAGTGGCTTATGCATCACGTTAACTGAGACCGCATGAGTGTAATTATCCAACCCATGATTTGGAGTTAGCAGCAATGATTTTTTCCTTGAAGATTTGGAGGCACTATCCTTATGGAGAGAAGTGTTACATTTTCACTGATCATAAGAGCTTAAAGTATCTTCTGACCCAGAAGGAGCTTAATTTGAGACAACGACGCTGGCTAGAGCTTCTAAAGGATTATGATTGTGTGATTGATTATCACCCTGGTAAAGCTAACATTGTGGTGGATGATTTAAGTCGAAAGGCGGTATCGGAGTTGAGGTCTTTAATGGCCAAGATGAATTTATATGACGATGGAACTTTGTTAGCAGAATTACAAGTTAAGCCGACTTTGGATCATGAAATTAAAGTTAAGCAAACCCTTGATAGCTCCTTGTTATCCATCTTTGAGCAAGTAAAGCAGGGGACAAGCTCAAATTACTCTCTTGATCAGGATGAAGTTTTATGCTTTAAGGGTCGATATTGTGTGCCTGATGATGTTGAGTTGAGGAAGATTATTCTTAATGAGACTCACAGTAGTCCATATGATATGCACCCCGGTGGAGATAAAATGTACCGGAATTTGAGAGAGAGATATCATTGGGTCGGCATGAAGAAAGACATCTCGGATTTTGTGGCTAGGTGTTTGACTTGTCAGCAAGTTAAAGTAGAACATCAACATCCATCAGGTTTGTTACAGCCTCTCAAGATTCCTGAATGGAAATGGGAGCGTATTACTATGGATTTTGTTATCGGCTTACCTATAACTCCTTTGAAAAAGGATTCAGTCTGGGTGATTGTTGACAGACTTACAAAGTCAGCTCACTTCATTCCTGTGCGGGTAAATTATACTTTGGACAAGCTGGCGAGATTGTATATTTCAGAGATTGTCAGATTGCATGGTGTTCCATTGTCTATTATTTCTGATCGAGATCCGAGATTTACTTCGAGATTTTGGAAGGCGCTACATACGGCTTTGGGAACAAGATTTGATTATAATACATTATTCCACCTCATTCCACCCACAAACTGATGTTCAATCTGAAAGAGTGATTCAGATTTTGGAGGATATGTTGCGGGGTTGCGTAATTGATTTTCATGGTAGTTGGGAGAATATTTTACCGTTGGCTAAATTTACTTACAATAATAGTTATCATACCAGCATTTGTATGGCACCCTACGAAGCACTCTATGGACGTAAATCTCGCACTCCGATATGTTGGACTGAGTTGCGTGACCGGAAGACTTTGGGACATGAGTTAGTGCGCGAGATGGAGGACACGGTCAGATTGATCCGTGACCGTCTGAAAGAGGCATTTAATAGGCAAAAGTCTTATGCATATCAGAGGAGGAAAGATATACAGTTTGAGGTTGGAGATCATGTCTTTTTAAAAGTATCATTGTGGAAGAAAGTATTGAGATCCGGGCGTAAGGGTAAATTAAGTCCAAGATTTATTGGACCATTTCGTATCTTGAAGAGGGTAGGACCTGTTACATATCAGCTTGAGTTGCCTTCCCAGCTCAATCGTATTCATGATGTCTTTCATGTATTAATGTTGAGGAAATATCATCCAGAACTATGTCACATTATTCAGGTTGAAGAGGTAGAGCTGAGAACTAATTTGTCATATGAGGAGGAGCCCGTTCAGATCTTAGAAAAAAATGAGAGAGCTCTTCAGAATAGGCGTATTCCAATAGTAAAAGTTGAATAGAGTAAACGAGGCCCATCTGAAGCTACTTGGGAGACATTGGAGTCAATGGAGACTCAGTTTCCTCAACTATTCTCATAAGGTAAATTTCGAAGACGAAATTTCTTATAGAGGGGGAGAATTGTAACAACCCGGAAAAAATATTTAAATTGGTGAAATTTGGTGAAATTTGGTGACTAAATTAAAATTTATGAAACCTTGTAGGTCATTTTAAAAGTAAAGGAAATTCATGGACAAAGCCTTGAATTTATCCTAAAACTGCCGGCAGCTTTGTATTATAAGCTTGTTTTCTGATTGAAATCAGAAAACACATGCTTATTTTGCTCAAATATCATCCTCCCGCACCCCTTCCTTTCAAGCCTGATTCCGATGTCGTTCGACATCCAATCGTCAAATTGAAACCACCATCGTGTTCATCTTCGACCCGTGAACAAAACCTAGTAAATCAATTATAGCGAAACGCTATCAAACGACGTGAATTTCGGGTCAAAGTGTCGACGTTTTTTAGCACCACCTCCGAGAAAATCTTAAATTCATCTCCGATCGTTGATCGATTTTTGACACCTCCCGCACCATCGTGTTCCTTGTGTCATTTTGAGTCCGACGGTGTCCTCTTTGTCTCAGTAGGCGGCGGTGCGTGTGGGAGGTGAAGCGGTCAAATATTCGGCCGAGTTGAAATCGAGCTCTCCACCGTTCAAATATTTGAACCGAGGTTAGTAAGTGACTCAAAATCGCTTAAAAGAATTTATAGAATTTTTTTCATTAATTTTTGGATACCGGAAGACGACTCACGCGCCCCCACGCGCCGCCTCTGCGCGTGGGGAATATACGAACTGTTGGGTGATGTTTTTGACTGGCTTGATCGGTCCAAAACGATCTGAACTGGTTTGACCGGTCCGAACCGGTCTGACCCGATTCGACTCGTTGACCCGACCCGCCCTGGTGATATTTTGGGAATTATTTTAAAAAAGGTGATATTTTAGTAATTATTTTGAAAAAGGTGATATTTTGGTAATTATTTTTAAAAATGTGCTATTTTTGTAATAGTTGAATGTGGACTTTTGAAAACCTTTGACCATAACTTTGATTGGCTTTAACCGGCCATTAAACGACCTTAGATTTTGTTCGAGTATACCTATTATGACATTTTTCGACGTGCCGAATCCATTTCCAAAGTCCGTTTCGCCAAATTCGAACCTGAATGCCTCCATATAATCAGTTAAACCCGTTGACTTTGATTTTGACCAAGAATTTGAATTTTCGGAATGTCATACTTTATGTTTTTTGACGTCCTGATTTTGATTCCGCAATCCGTTTGGTCAAATTCGGACTCGAAAGCCTTCAAATTGATAGTCAAACCCGAAAAATGCTTTTGTACTTAAGAGTTTTAGCTTTGAATAATAGAGTAAGACTTGAGACTGATAAATTATTAATGTTTGAAGGTACAAAAGACTCTCCTGACTGTTCGACAGCTCGACCTAGCTCCTCTAGATCAGTTAAACCACGTGTGCCAGTATTCACCCGTAAGACCCGTAAATTTTATGATTTAATAAATTAATTATGTTATCCATTAATAATATAGTGTTATTATGAATTAGGTTCGAAAACTGTAGCAGAGCGTGGCGAGACCAGCAATCAGTATATCTACTATTTGAACATATTATCGAGGTGTGTTCCCTATTTATTACTGAACTGTTTTATTTATTTTAATATGTGGTACACTGAATTCTATGGTTACTGTTTTATTGATGCACCGATTTAATGTGGTTGTTTATGGATTATGACTGCTATCTGATTTTTGTTTTGAAATGATATATGATATGATTACCATGTTATGGATTTATGGAATTTACGTCACTGTGCAATTGAATTTTTGGAATACGAATTTATAAAGTACAACACTGATCAAGCTGGAAAATTTTACAGACCTAATGTGACTCTTAGGTATGCTCTGCGGCCCTGAGATCATTCTCGAGTAGGCCCTGCGGCCCTAAGATGTGTTCTTAGGTAGGCCCCACGACCCCGAAATCTATCTTGGGTAGGCTCTTAGGCCCTAAGAGGTTCCTTTAGGGTAACTATTTTATGAGATTTATTGTAGTATAATTTTATGAGATTTACTGGACTATGATTTGTTTAGTGTACCTATCATGATTTTATAGTAATGTTGGGACACACTGAGCCTAGCTCACTTTTCGAAAATGTTTTCCCCTTTCAGATACTGTTGGTTAGATACCTCTGATCGAGCACTTGGAGGATCAACATATCTCTTGAAGTATATCTTATTGTAATGTTTTATCTTTCGAGTTGACTCTATTTTGATAACATGTGCCTTATTTTAAAGTATTGGATTTTATAATGTTTACTCTTTTGCTATTTATGTTTGGTTTATCGTAATTGGGATTTTTTTAAATATGTTTTAAAAATTAAATTTTTAACTATTTAGTTTTATATTCATGAGTTAGGTTTATCGTAATATATTATATCCTTTTATAAATTTATTTATAATGTGATTTTATAATTGATCGAATAAGAGTTTCAGAAAAATGTCTTCAAGAATCATGAATGTGATCCACTAGAGACTTAGTCGAAACGCATAGGCCGGATCTAGGGGGTTACAAGTCGGCCACCACCAACGCCGCCAATGGACCAAAAATCTAATGGTGTGAGACTGCCTGAACTCCCACCGATCGAATCTCCATACTTTATGCGTGATTGCAACGAAAATAAGCGATCATAGCGTGGAGAATCTCTTTCATCCGATCACGAAATCTTATATTTACAAGGTCATTAGGTGTTCAACTAGTCACGAAAATAAGGGATTTCAGTCATTGGGTGATTGTTCAGTTGAACAATGTTGGGTGTTTGACTGATTGACGGCGTTGGTGGCAACCAATGGTGCTAAAGGATTAAAATTAATGTTTTAAGAGATTTTGGGTTCTTTTAGTAATTTTATAAAATTTTGCTTTTTTATAAAATAAATTTAAATTAAAATTTTATAAACATGTCAATTAATGACCCTTATAATATAAACACCTAAAAGTGTAACATTGAAAATATTAAAACACTTATTTTAACAAAAAAATCCTTTAAACACTTAAACGTGAACTTTAGATACAGTTTGAGTAATTATTTTTATATTAAACCATTAATTAACAAACTTTATCTTCAACTATCACCAAAATCAGTTATTTTGGACAACTATCCGCTTACCTTCATTGGGATTAGGAAGTAACAATAGAAACAATCTCTCAAACACCAGTGTTCAAGAACATAGGAATTGACTGATGAAGAATAACATCATGTAAAAGAATTTCTTTTTCAATTCAATTGGCTTTCCATCTCTAATATTAAACTCTACAATTTCCGACACCGGAAATACGTCGGAATCTAATTCAGGGTGTAATTTTTTTGCCCTTTTCTTTCGAACGAATCTATATTTCCTTGATGCTCAAACGCAGTGGCTTTCCATTCTCCTACATTCATGAGCATAAGGCACATATTACAAATCTCAATTCTCAACCAATATCTCTGTGTACACAAAGGTGGAGAGAAATGGATTGTATTGACATATTATCAACTCATTTCCCACCACCCTTGAGGGTTCTTAGCCAATTAAATTAGAAATGGCAACCCAAAATTTTGGAAAGTTCTAATCTCACCTCGTAGCCCAGCGGTTACAATCACCATACCCCAGGCTGACATCTTTGGGTTAACCCCAGAGAAGTCTACACTCGTCTTGGGGCTGCTCTGGGTCCGAGTTGCCGAAAGTAGTTTTTCCTCCGGCCATGTAGTTGAGATTCTGTTAAAGTAGCTATTGGTGGCATTAGAAATGGTTCCATGGAGAGAGCTATTGGTGCACCCGGATGCTGATAATGAACCCTCGTTTCCACTATACTCCTCAACAGGTGTTGGAGGATGATTGGCCGTCAAAACATCATCGAGAAAACAATTTTGATCATTCAATTGTGAATCTCTTTGTTCCCAAACGTCAGCCATGCCAGGCCAAGGGATGGCAACTGATACATCTTTACAGTGAAAGTGTTCATAAGAGCATGTCTCGGTGACTCCTTTACTTCTGCTAGGCCTCGATTCTACTTCGTGTTTCCACACGTAAACATTAGAGTCCTCACTAGCACAGACAACATATTTTCCATTTGCTGTAACAGAAGCCGAGATTTGGCTGTTTGTGTTCCGAAATCCTGTTGCGTATAGTCAACATCATCAGAGGCATCAACATAATTCTAGAATGTCATGCGGATATTTATACCATACAAAGAATTACCTTTAAACTTGTGAATTAGATCAGAACCATCAACAACCCGGATTCGCGAATCTGCAGATGTGACAAGTACTTCTGACGAACTTCCAGGTGCAAACTGTTTGAGAAAGTAACCAGCAGGGGGAAGCATACAGGGAACACAATAAAGTAAGAAATGTGCAAAAGGAAAAAAATGAAAAGGCTCCACGTAAGAAATATGCCATCAATATTTAGACAGAATTTGAAGCAGCAGGGGCACGGGATTACCTGGAAACCTGTAATTTTCCTTTGATGAGATCTCTTTTTATTCGGCAAATTGATTTGACTTTTCTGTTGCAACTTGTTCTCTGGAAAAACATGCATAAATGCAAAATATTTAAGGAATTACTACGACATCATCCATAAAATAAAGACAGAGTACGCAGATGTGAGAGAGAGAATTCATAAACTTATACCAGAAGCGTTGTATAAACGGCAGCTTCCGTTGTATGAGCCAACTAGTGCACCCTTCAAAACAATTAAAAGTTTCATGAGCTTTACTTGCACATCGTATATTATATAGAATGAAATTGTAATTGACCGTTCCCAACCTGGCCATCCGGCATGTAACAAGCAGCGGTGACCATTTCATGCAGATCATTCCAATCAACAACTTTACAATCAGGAATGCTCCATATGCGTACTTTAGCATCTAAGGATCCACTAATAAAGTATCTATCATCAACTGGATTAAACTGGATGCAAGTTACTGTGCCAAGGCAGATCCACAAAAATAAAGCATGGTTAGTAATACATAAATATATTTCAAGAGACAAGAAAAGGTTCATTAGAAAAATGAAAATCTCAAATCATTCACTACTCCTATGTATTCTAACTATTTATCTAAAAAATACTACAATTTAGTGAAGTTCTTAACAGGGATATTATGAGGTCAAACACCGAAGTTGAACAATAATTTACTTACCATAATCATTGTGTGAAAATATTTTTAAACAAGTCTTGCTAGTTAAGTCCCAAAGCCTGACTGTTTTGTCCATTGAAGATGAGAGCAATTGCTGAAAAGAAAAACGAAAAAAAAATATTACCAGAATATCCTGCATAAATAATTCCAAAAGAAGCTAGGATGCGATGCAGGGGAAAACCCATATAAAGGTCAAACAACAACCTCTGGAAAAGCTTGCTACAAGTATAAAAGGAATACATAGAGCCAGAGCATGACTGATCATGTGCGTTACTCTTGAACTGTTTAAAATTTGAAGGACTTTTAAGGCATTCAATTACAGCTACAATACATGCCATTAACATTCAGAATGGTTTATAAAAATTTGTGTTGGTAGAACCAAAAATATTCGTAATCATTTAACTCATATTTATTATTAGCGATATGAGAACTCAAGTTTCTTCAGTCCCTTCAAAAATTTAGTTCTAGTAAAAATCGATATAATGTTATACAACTCTGGGTTTAAATTTGCCACCAGAAGATCCGAAAATCCATCTCGAAGAGCCAGAGATCAGAGAAGAAACAAAATGCATCCCTTTGTCTACCATGGGTCAGCTTGAAAATATACCATAAATGCTACGTAGAAAACCAACACATCTATTTAACAGATAAACTAAATCCATGTTAATAGACAACTACAATGACCCTGGAGATTTAGTTTTATAAGGCTTCTAAAGGCTAAAAATAGAAACACTAAATAAGGTTCTTCCCAATAATATTAAGACTGAAAACCTGAAAATCAAACTAACCAAACTATAGTGGTACATATACTTCTCAAAAGACCTGAGAGGATTAAAAACTGATGACTAACCTGTGACTTGGACCATGAGAGGTCGAGCACATCATCCAAATGTCCTTGAAAAGAACAAATAGGCTTGTCTGTAAATGCAAATACAGTCTCTGGCACCACAATGTGGTCCAGGCTCAAAGATTTCCGGCTTATCGATGACCTTCCTCTTCTCTTCTTCTCGGGATGGAGATCAGAACTCAGTGATGACAGAGTCGGTTCCGGAGATCCATTAGCCACAAACAAAAGGCTCAAATTCCCATATTCTGGTTTTTCCATCAACAGCTCGCCTTTCCTCTCTGATTCAATTACCTTCCATACATTAATTACACGATCCTCACCTGCACTAGCAAGGTATTTGCCATCCAAACTGAATTTAATACTCCAAATAGACCCTGTATGCGCCTGTATCTCTTGACTCTTGTAAAGAGCAGTGAGCTCTTTACATGGTTTCCCATACTGCTTTACCCTCACTCTCTCCGGCCCCTGAAATGAAATATCCTGGCTATCATCGGTGGCGGAACTTGATCTCCTCCCACCCTTCTCCGACGAGGTATCCCTCTCGTCGCTGCTTAGCCTTTCCTTATTACTCTTCACACTGTTTGCAACGCTCTTTATACTCTTAAACCAGCCCCCTTTCTTCTTCAAATTTGAAACACCGACACCCCCACCATTGAAAATCAAATCGGCATTATCTTTACTACCCTCTTCCACATTCTGCCTTCTCATTAACTCTTGAACGATCGGAGAATGCCCAACACAAACCTCGAACTCCTCCATTGTCAACTGTCTCCCCGTCCCAACTTCCTTCAACTTGTTCCACATCCCATCTTCTCTAATCTCATTAACCACAAACTCTACTCCATTATCAAGGTTCTTGATAGTACACACTTGTTCCCAGCAATCCATATCATCATCCACCGCAAAAGCCTCCCCATCACCAAATGATTTAAAGTCAAGTTCCCCATTCAAACTCTTGCTAATCCGCCCCGTGGGTGGCTTAGATCCATTACTTTCGCAGCGTCTCAAGTTAGCACCCGCGGCATTACTCTGATCGCATTCACTATTGTTGTTATTATTTTCAGAAGTACCTAAACCAACAGAAAGAATCGAATAACATGAACTGGAACGAAGGGATAAAGGAGGAGAAGAAGAAACGGCAGCATCATTACAATCAGCATCAGATTTCGGTCGTACAATTGCAGAAGAACAGGTCTCTTTTTCTCCTCCGCGATCTTGCTCTTCCAACTCTTTGTTTACCAGCCGATTCGATGAAACTGATTTTCTTCCGTGCTTTCCTCCAGCGGTATCACCACCCACTTCCCGTCCCACACCGACATCCGTTTCTGAGCCGGGTCTTATCCGGGAAAGACCTAGGTGGCTGCTGAGCCCCATTTCACGTAGCAAACGTGTTCTTCTTTCTGAAACGGGGGCGGGTTCAGAGATCCAGATGTCGAATTTGGAAAGAACCTTGGGAAATTTAGGGACGGGGAATGGGTGGTGGGCATTGTTAGAACTGGTAATTGGGTCTGAATCCGAGTCAGAAGAAGGAGAAGTTGAGTTCGAACAAGAATTAGAAGGAGCAATGTGGTTAAGGGAATCGTAAAAACAATCTTCTTCGTTTACTTCTACTAGTTCCCACCCTTTTCGTTGCTCGTTTCCTTGCTCTTCTTGAGTCAAGTAGCCTTCGTTTAACTTGCTGTTGTTGCTACCAATTGGGTTCTTGCTCATGCTTTTTTTATGAGCATTCCCATTTCAATTTCGAGACATACAACCATCAAAAACAAACCAAAAGAAGAAGAAAAATCATTAGGTTTGGCTGGATCAAAGTTAATGAAAGGGAAAACAGTGTTTGGAGGGAAAGAAAGAGAGGGAAAACTCAGATCCAAAGCCAAACGGGAAGGAGGGAAAAAGAGAAAGGGAGTGAAATGGATTTGATGGAAAAGAGGGGAAGCTAAGTTGAGGTTTGGTGATGTCTTTGTTTGGGAGATTGATTTGATTTTGTTGGCTTTTTGGTTCTTGGGGTTCGGCTATTGAAAGCTGAAAGCTGGGGGATCTCCCTATTGCATATAAAATATTCTAGTATTTCTTAACAAACAAGTACTTAGGAAATAACATTTTTTAAAGAAAATATCATTTAGGAAATAAAATTTGTTGATATAAATCTTTTGTTTCATAAATTTAAATTTTAAAAATAAAATATCTTTAAAATAAATGTTAAATAAAAATTGGAAAATATGATCTAATAATAATTTTATTTTATTTAAATTGTTATTATATATCACACACATTATAAAATATAGGATAAATTATGTATTTAGTCATCAAATTATTACATTGTATATTTTTTGATCATCTAACTATTTTTTTCAAAATCATATCTAACGTTACATTTTTATTTTATTTTGATTATTCTTCGTTAAAAAATAAACAAAAGCACTGGCATGGTAAATTTTTTTCCAATAATAATGTGGCATTATCTTGTGGTAACATGTTAGTGTCATTGTTAATTTTTTTAACGGATGGGTGAATGATCAAATCGTAACTTTTGATATGATTTTGAAAAAAAATAATAGTTGAATGAGCAAAACGGAATCAAAATAATAGTTTGGTGAATAAATAATATAGTTTACCCTAAAATTTAACTTGAACCCATCAAACGACCTTAATTATTAATAAAAAAAAATTAACCCGCTGAAAATTTAAATTTTAAAATAATATTATTAAAAACAGTAACAATTAAATATAATTGAGTTTTATTTGAGAGTTTTTATTGTTTATATTTTATAAATAAACGTCTTTAAATAACCCTGCAATCTCTTTACGATATTTATCTTAAAAGGTAAATCGGTTTATGACTATTTAAACTCCAAAAAGGAGTTTTTGATCATTTATTTTTTATGTTTCATTGATCATAAATTTAAAATTCAATTTGTAACTCGTTAAGATAAGTAAATACCTCAAACCACCATTGGAATCGATCAACCTTCATTTCCATTTATATTTTTAAATTATACAAAATAGTAATATGATCACTAGTTAGTTATTTAGTGCAAACATTCATTCAATGATAAAAGACTGGATAAATTTTATATTTTCTAATAAAAAAATGACACGAACCAAATGTCTTATGTAATAAATGAATTGTTGATATTTTTTTAATATCCGAGTTCAAGTAGCGTAGATATCAGGGGTGTAAGCGTTCAATCTCAAGAGGTTGAGAGTTATCTTTAAACAGATATTGCCTTGTACTTACCTCAAATTAGTTTATGTAGTGTATTTTCAAAATTTTCTTAGTCTATGACGACGCACACACCTGACACAAACAACTTATCAAACTTAAATCCTCTAAAAAAATAATATCTAGATTATCATTTTTTTTTAAAAAAAATTATCATTTAATGGTAAAATAATTTATTCCATTAACATAAGAGCGGATTTGAAATGGTAATAGTAATTAAAAAGATAATAAAAATTTAAACCATAATCTGAAGATGTACAATGCAACCAACTTTTACATTGGATCTCATGCTTTGGTAATTGTTCGATATCGGGTAATGCTTTTATGGTAAGCTAAGATGAGGACATTAGGTGGATCTTTTACGATAAATTCATGTGGTATAAACAATAAGAGTATGAAAGGTCATTGTCTATGCATTGATAACCCCAAAACAAGAGTATGTACATACACATTATTTTTCAATAAGATGATACAATTCATTGTATTTTACTTGAGATACTCATCACATTGGTTGTATGTTTTTTTTCTCTTTTCTAAAAAAGGGGCCATCTATTTTTTTTTTAGAAAAAATCATAAATGAAATAAAAGATAAATTATGATAGGTACTATTTAAATTCTAAATTTACGATAAATCACAAGTTATAAATATAATAAATATTTTTATATAAAAAAAGTATTTCAAAAATGAGATTCTAATAATATCACGTGTTTTATTTAGGATAGTAAGATTTATGATTTAGAATTTAGTGTTTAAATTTAAAATTTAGAAATTATAATTAAGATTTAGGGTTTATAATAATATAAATAGGTCAACTAACATTTTAAAAAGTATGCTTGTGAAATAATTTTTTTACTGATGATATATAAGATAATAACCCATGAATATATATTATAATGGAAAATCAAACCAGTATATGATTTATTGATCTATTAATTTAGATAAGTTATTCTATAGGTCTATTATGAGAATGATTCTCATAACTCAGTTTGTTCCATTTACAATGTTAAGTTTCGGACTCTTAACCTTACCTAAGGAATCTAGTGTGTATTATAATATTAGATCAATTAGTTGTTAGTATGCATGTATATATATATAGGGGCGGATGTACATGGCTCCCTAAGGAAGTCATTGCACACCCATTATTTTGAAAAAAGTGTTAAATTTAGTTTAATTTGTTAATAGGAATAGAAAAAATAAAAAATTTTGCATACTCAAATTTTTTTAGAATAGGGTATTAAAATTTTGGACCCCCAATTTTTAATTTTTAGATCCACCACTGTATATATATATATATATAAGTGTGTGTTAGAGAGAATGAGAGGATTATCCATATATTTTTACATGACCTTGAAAAAATGAACCCCTAACGCGTCCAAAAGCATGCTTAGCAGCCATACAATAAATTTGATTTTAGGTGCCCCAAATCCCATTGATTTTAATGTAGCTAGACAAAGTGAAAAGCTTTTCAAAGTATACAGCAAAAAAGGGATAATTACAACTCATTGGTGCACATGATTTGCGCAATACTTTTATATTAATTAGCTAGCAAAGAGTAGTGAGAAAGGGAAGAATCCCAGAAGCTATAACAAAGAAATAAAACCTGTAGTTTTAGGCTAAATCCACTTCATATTTGAGACCAAATCAAGCTAATAATTAATACATGAAATTAATGACAAGGAAAGCCATGCACGGGGCTGGTTTTTGTACTATTTTGCTATTTATATAAACAAGGAATGATATTCAGAGACATTTTATATATAAATATTTCTACCTATAAGATTTTTTTTTGTGAAATTGATAATTAATTAACTTATACAATCACTCTTATAAAATAATATTTATTTATAATTTTATATTTTTTCTCATATATTTATAACTTTATGTAGTTATTTATATTTGTTTTGTAATGCATGTATGGTTTCCACTATTATCAACTAAAATGTTAATTAATTGATTGATTGATTAGTAAGTTTAAAAATATTATAATGAATGCAGGCATTGCATGTGACTTGATTCTCCACAGCCTGTGTTAGGTTTAGGCTTAACATGGATTCCATTTCCATCCCTTAAAATAAACATAGAACAAAAACTAAAGAAATTTGAATATTCAACTTGCTTTAGCACCTAATTCAAATTATTAAAATTTCCAAAATCTCATACTCAATATTTGGTGTCTTTCAACCATAATGTAACAATGATCGTCTCAATTAATAAATCTAGTGAGTTTATATTTTTGTTATGACAACAGTGTTAAAGATTTATTGTTTTAGTTAATATACTTGTTTAAAAATAATAATTTTAACACGAATCAAGTGGACTATGTGATAAAGGAATTGTTGTTAATTATTGAGGATTTGGGTTCGAGCACCATAGATGCCAGGGGGTGTGAGTATAAAAAATTGAGAGATTAAGAGTTATCTTTTAATAGATATTGACTTGTAATTATATTAATAAAGAATATTTTAAAATTTTTAAAACACCAATCGATTAAATTTAACTCTTTCAAAGAAATTAAAGGTTAAATTTAACTGAAATATAAAAATTAAATTGATAGAAAAAACATAAACGTCGAGAGTCAAATTTATGATTATAACTTAAATTAAAATATGAATCATTCAATTTTCGATCTAATATTTCTAGCATCAGTAATGACTTATTGGTCTTTTAAGAAAAACAAAGACTTTTAGTAGATAAATTATTGTTGATTGAAAATATACAATTTATTTTAACTTAGTGTCAGATATATAATATTTTTTGTCACCAAGAATGTGTTATCAAACAACATACTTTCCCATGTCATATTATTAAGTTACCAAGCTTGTTGTGGTTGAAAATGGGAAATAGTATGAAGGGTCATTCTTGAAAGCTCCAAATGGTTAAAACCATATCACCCAATATAGTTTTTACTGTGGGGGGGGGGGAATGAATAGTAAAGACATTGTTGAAATCCGAATGTCGTATATGTTCAATGTGACATTTCAATCATTATTAAATTAGTCATATGATTAAAGCCTTCAGTTTACAGTTTTGTGCAATTTGACTTCCAAACAAATATATATATATATATATAATACCTAATCAATGAATTTTTTTAATACAATTTTCTTCTTGGTAAGTATCTATTCATAAATTTCTTAATTTATTGATAATACACATATACCTTGCATATATAGTAGCTCAAACATATGACCTTTAAAAATAATAACGTTCTCTTTTACTATTAAGGTCACTTGATGGGTTATAAATAATTAATTTTTTGGGGGTAAAGTACACAAATGGTCTCCTGATTATATAATATGATTTTGTTGAGTCCTTTGACTATTAAAAATCACAAAATGGTCTATTGACTATAGGGAGTTGCTTTGTTGAGTCATTCGACTATTAAAAGTTCAAAATGATCACCCGACTATTCATTATGTTCCAAACTCATCCTTTTCTGTTTAGAAATTAATGGAAGTATGAGTTGGATGTTAAATTGCTGACTAAGATATGCTAAAATATGATCTCATAATCTCAAACGACTATCGTATCTAAGTCAGCATGTTAACATCCAGCTTCGATGACCGTTAATTTTTTAACGAAAAAAGATGAGTTTGGAACGTCATGAATAGTCAGGTGATCGTTTTGTAACTTTTAATAGTCAGATGACTAAAAAATAGTATCATATAGTCGGGGAACCATTTGTGTATTTTAACATAATTTTTAAATATCACCATTGAAAGACAATCACATAAATGAGTATTGTCACATTATACCGAAATATTAAGTATATGTGATCAGAGACAAACATAGAAATTTATGTTAGATGTGTGAATTTAGAAGTTATATTAGAAATTTAAATATTTTAAAATTTTAAAATTTTAAAGAATGCGAAATTAGATAATTGGTAAAAAAATTATAAAGAAAACACTTAAAATATATTTTTTTTAAAAAAATCATTTTAGATGTACGACCGTTTGATCAATCCATCCATGTACGTGACTGCCGGATTTGAAGTGTAAGGTGTATAGTTGCAGAAAAACCAGATGGGAAGTTCTAATTTGGACTTAAGCTTAGACTTGAGTCTTCAAGTGACAATGGAGTTCCATCTTTGTTCAGTCACAATCAGGCTGCTTCCTACATCTTTAAACCGGGCTTGCAAGGTATAAATTGAGAAGAATGAACTTAAAATTGGCTTGGGTTATAGTCCTTTAAAAATGCATCAAGGTCGGATTTATTTACCAGGGTGAATCAAAGAAAAATTTATTACTCAACTAATTTTCAGTTTTGAGACAGATAAACTAATATTTACTTTGAGATGGGATCAGAATCAAATTTAAAAATAAATATATCGAGTAACAGTTGAAACCTATCATCTCAATGACCATCCCTAATAACGAAGATCCTCTATTAAACTCTTATATTTCATGCATATTTGATATAAAAATTGATATATAATTCTTCAAATATCTTCCACATATATAACAAATTTTAAAAATAAATACATCAACATCCAAATATAGCATTATGACTCGCAATCTGCCTGCCTAGTGTATGGAACCCTCAGCATATGAAATGGAACTAAAAAACAATAGTCACATAAACAGCCAATGCTTTATTTGTGACGGCGACGCCGGTCGATCCACCGCAAGCCTAGAGGCTGTGCTTATTCTCCGTGGCATCGGAATAGCAAATATAGTACAGTTTGTTCACAATTGCGGTCAAGAAAATGAAAGCCGCGCCTGCACCAAAAACTCCCTTCCTCACAGTCTCACAGGACGGCGGCTGCTCGCCGAAAATGGTCCGGTATTTGGTATGATACGCATTTCGCACCGATCCGGCCACCAAGCAAATCTCAGCAACCAGGAAAAACAACCAACAGAAAATGAAAAGGATAACTGCCCAAGTCCTTGAACCAGTAGGATTTAATGCCTTCCCACAGCAAAAGCATCGGCTTGCCAGCATTATAAGAGCTTGGCTGCCCATTAGGAGCAAAAATGCACCAACACCATAGCTTGTTGCGATGTCTGAATCATATACACAGTAGTTATAATTTATTTCACTATCTTTAACAATATTTGCCTGCAAAAAAAAAAACCCAGAAATCATATGAGATTATATAATCCGATAGAACAAAATGGATGGAAAAAGAGTGAGGTGGGAAAGTAAAACTCACGGTGCTTCTTGTTTGTTCAGCTGCAACAGCTAAACCAAAAGCAATGAGATCGAGGACAAAGACAGTAATCAAAAAAAGCAATGAGATCGAGGACGAAGACAGTAATCATATGGAGCTACCTTCAAACCCAACAAGAGTTTTTTTGGTTTCTTCCCTTAGCTTTCTTTGCTTTGCTATTTAAATACATAAATGTCACTATCAGCATTGAAGAAGCAAAGCAAATGATTAAAATGAAGAGATGAAAAAAAAAGACGGGGAATTTTCAGAAGAAAATAACACCTTCATGTTGCATGAAAATGGGGTTCTCACTTTCCTTTTCCAGAGAAAATCATTTTTTAAAACATAATATATGTTGAAGCAATCGGCTGCTTGGATTTCTGATTGACTTATACGGTTGCTATTTTTAAAATAATATCAAATAGATTAGATTCTGGATTTAAATCTTGCTTTTTACACACACATATATATAACAGAATTTTAGAAATCAATGTTTTATGTACTGGAGTTTATCCAATTAAGCTTCTTAAAGCACAAATAAGTTTTTTGAATTCATATTTTTAATATTTATTACGATTTTTTCAATAATGTTGTCTCTAAAATAATTTAAGTATATTAAAAAATAAGAGTACTAATGCTCAAAACTCGAGGTACAAGATGAGGATGATTGTTTGGAGATAAAGTTGGTTGGAAAGGTCCGTTAATCTTTAAAAAGTAGGTTCTTCATGAAAGGGAAGAAACACCCGCCATAGTTAACTGCCTTTTGAAATCCTCAAAAAGGAAACTCTTGGTGTACACATTTTCAAGCACTTTGTACACCATGTCATAACCATTTTTTTATAAAAAATAATTTAATATTATTTTAAAAAACGATTATGACTTTAATTTGGAAAGATTGAGTGATTTTGAATTGATTTGAATAAAATTAAAAAGAGTCGCCATCGACCTTTAGGTTAGGTAGGTCGAATACCTAAAAACGTCTTTTAAAACAATTTTAAAAAAATCATTTTATAAGACAAAATTTGGTATGCGTCACCAAAGATTCGATTAAATGGATTCGGGAATCGGTTACGTGTAGAGAAGGATTAACACCCTACAACGCTCAAAAACTGGTACTGGATCGCTTACACGTTGTCGTAAATGGCAGAACTTATAAATCGAATATGAAATTAAAATGTGATCCATTTATTGAACATTGATTAATTTGATTCGAATTAAATAAATAGAGAAAATTCTTTAACTCGAAAAGAAATATCAAAATTAGCAATCCTCCATCGGAAAAGCTAACTCTAATATTTCTTATCATTATTAGAATATTCCATTCTCATTGATATATATGCAAATCGAATATAAATGAAATTAACGTTTGCATTCAAACAAAAATGAAAAATACTGAATTAAAAAACACACATTGCATTATTAAAATAATTAATTAGTAAATATACTCGACTTGTTGCAAGTTCCTATGTCGTTAAAATGCCGTATCGGATCGTACCACTTCGACAAGTGGTACTTCCACGCCCATTCTACGCATACGTGTTCTTGAAAATATAATCGAATATTTCATACATAGATAAAAAATAATAAATGTAATGGAATACAATAAAATATTCACATTACTAAAAAACATTATTTACATAATACAAATAACCGAATAACAAGTACAATAAATCATACATAATGAATAAAAAATATTCACAAATGTCAGGGATAAATTCGAACATTAAACAAAATACCTACATATAAATCAATGCAAAATGAAAACTATTACAAACATTGGGACCAAAGTCAAGTATCCACAAAATGACATAATATACATTAGTAGGACTAAATATAAACAAGGAAACATAGATGCCCAAAACAAAAGAAATAAAATAGACATTAAACCAAATATTAAAAAACAGAAAATGACTAAAATAAAAGCAATTAGAACTTGAAGCCAAAATTAAAAATGCAAAGTTATATTCAGTGATTAAATAAAATAATACACAATACGAGATCAGATTCCAACATTCACGAAAGTAGTAATATAAAAGAGTAAGGACTAAAATGAATAAACAGAAACATAAAAGATCACAGAGTAATTAAACCAAACATCAGACAATGACTAAATAGAATATATACGATATGGTGACCAAATTCAAATAACAGTAAAGATAATAAAATGCTGGGATCAGTGATTAAATTGAAATATTTGAAAATTAAATCCAGAATCAAATAGACAAATATGATATAAAACATGAACAGTGACTAATATATAACATTTGCAAATTTCATGACCAAATCCGAATATCAAAGGAAAATGCACAATAAACTGAAACAGTGACTAAAACGAAATAAATATAAATATCACAACCAAATTATAATATCAGCAAACATAATATACAAATTAATGACTGAAATGCAATCATTAAAAACTAAAGACTCGAATAAAACAATAATAATTTCATTAAATGACTTAAATAATGCGGATACAAAGGATTAGGGACCAAAAGTGTGGTTTACCCCTTTAATATGAGAAACACGGTAGATGTTACAAAGATGCGAGGACCAAATAGGCTATTTACCTTTCATGCTGAAACACGCATACCCTGAACCCCTAAAACGGCGTCGTTTGGGATCAGACATATAAAGCCCAACCGAACGGCCAAAATCCTTCCAACTCCCTCATTTCTCTCGTCTGCCCCTCTTCTTAAAACAGAGAAAAAAATGCTCTCAAGGTTCTCTCCCTCTCCGCCTATGTCCGCCGTTGGAGAGAAAATAAAGAGGCCACGACCGGCGCAGCCGGCGGCGATGGCGCAAGAAACCTTACCGAGACACCCTATGGCCTTTCCCCTCCCCTCTTCGAAAAAAAAACCCTTTAATACCCAAACAAAACCGAAACCCCCTTCGAACCCTAGATCGTAGAAAGGTGAAGGTTTTACCTCGATGGCGGCCCCTCCTAACTCCGGTGAGGAAGCAACGATCAAATCTCCCTAAAGGTAAGATCTCTATCTCGTTTTTTCTGCTTTTTACTGTTGGTTCTCAATTTGGTTTTACTCTCTGAACTTCTTTTTTTTTTTCGGTTATCACCGAATGTCCCCTTTAAAATGGTTGCCTCTTCTCCTTTTTGTTGTGGTTGCTGATGATATCTAGAACTTAGGGAAATTATGGGTTGATTTGGTAGCTGGTGAAATCCTGAATTTTCGGGATTTATTTCGTTTTTTAAATAGGTTTTCAATTTAGGTTAACTATTGCTCTGATTTGGTTACTGTTTTTACAGGAACCGGTCACTGTTTGATGGATGGACTCTATCAGCTCCGATGACAGCGGCGGTGAGGGAAGCAGTCGGCTTGAGCGGCGGCTAGAGATGAGAAGTTGAAGGCGGCGGCTGATGGAGTTGATGATATTTAGGGTTTCAAACCCTAATTACTTTGGGTTACTGAGTGGGCCTGGGATTGGTATTGGGCCTGAACCGGGTCTGGGCTCCAAGTCTTGTAATTCTGGGTCGGGCTTGGTATCTGATGGGCTTCGGGTTTGAGCCTGCAAAAATTTGTAATATATTAATAACAATAAATAAGCATAATAATAATAATAATAATAATAATAATAATAATAATAATAATAATAATAATAATAATAACAATTACAATTAGATAGAAAAGACCCGGACAAAAACGGGTGTCTACAGCTGCCCCTCTTTGCACATTCTTGTGTTAACAAGAATAGAGCAAAGATGACAAGACATCACGTTTTTGTCTGGTTCTCTCCCTTTAAAACTTAGAAATTGGATAACGTTGGTTGTTGGGGACGACACTGCTCATACGTGATGAAGAGTTCGGGTCGTCTAAGGGTGACATGGTTCCTACGTGATGAGGAAATCTGGTCGAGGGTTGACACTGCTCATACGTGATGAAGAGTTCTGGTCGAGGGATGACACGGTTCCTACGTGTTGAGGACGGCTGGCCATCTTTAGGAGTGGTGATAGCTCGGCTACGTGATGAGGACGACTGGTATCTAGGGTGACTACAGCTCATACGTGATGAAGAGATCTGGTCGGGGAATGACACGGCTCATACGTGATGAAGAGTTCTGGCCATCTAAAGGTGATAACACGGTTCCTACGTGATGAGGACGGCTGGTTATCTATGGTTGACACGGCTCCTACGTGATGAGGAGATCTGGTCTGGGGATGACACGGTTCCTACATGATGAGGACGGCTGGCCATCTTTAGGAGTTATGGTTTCAAGAGAAACCAAATTAAAGATTGTTTCAAAAGAAACAAACCCAAAGATTTGTTTCAAGAAAAATAAACTCAAAGATGATATTTTAAAGCAACTGTCTCAAAGAGACAAAATTCGTTTTAAGGGAAACAACTCAAAGACGACGTTTAAAGGGAAACTGTCTCAAATGAGACAAAATTCGTTTAAAGGGAAACGACTCAAAGACGACGTTTAAAGGGAAACTGTCTCAAATGAGACAAAATTCGTTAAAGGGAACGACTCAAAGACGACGTTTAAGGGAAACTGTCTCAAATGAGACAAAATTCGTTTAAAGGGAATTGATCTCAAAGATCAGTGTTTCGAGAGAAACAAACTCAAAGATGTTTTTGTTTCAAGAAAAACATACTCAAAGACTTTGTTTGTTTTGTTTCAAGGGAAACAGATTCAAAGATGGTAAAATTTGTTTCCAAAGAAACAAACTCAAAGATTTTTCTCAAAGAAACTGTCTCGAGAGAAACAAAATTTTGTTTCCAAAGAAAGAGATTCAATGATTTTTTTTAAGACATTGTCATAAGAGACAAAACTTTATTTTTCAGAAAATGTATCTTAGTGAGACAAAATTTTGTTTCCAAAGAAACAGACTCAGATTTTCTTCAAAAGAAATTGTTTTAAGGGATAAAACCTTGTTTCCAGAGAAACAAACTCAAAGATGATCTTGTTTTAAGAGAAAATGTTTCAAGAGACAAAATTCGTTTCAAGGGAAACGACTCAAAGATGACATTGAAAGGAAATTGTCTCATGCGAGACAAAATTTGTTTTAATAGAAACGATCTCAAAGGTGGGTATTTTCAAAAGAAGTTGTCTCGAGAAAAAAAAATTTTCAAAGGAAACTAACTCAAAGATTTTTTCTCAAAAGAAATTGTCTTTAAGAGATAAAATTTTGTTTCAAAAGAAACAGACTCAAAGATGAATTACATCTTAAGTAAGACCAAATTTGTTTCAAATGAAACAATCTCAAAAATTAGTTTTTAATTAGAAACTGTCTCAAGAGAGACAACATTTGTTTTTAAAAAAATAGACTCAAAGATGATTTTGTTAAGAGAAGCAAACTCAAAGATTTTTCAAAAGGAACATATTCAAAGATTTATTTCAAGAGAAACTATCTCATTTTAAGAGAAACAGACTCAAAGATTTTTTCAAAAGAAATTGTCTTAAGAGAGACAAAATTTTGTTTCCAAAGAAACAGACTCAAAGATTTTTGTTTCAAAAGAAACAGACTCAAAGATTTATTTCAAGAGAAACTGTCTCACAAGAGACAAAAATCGTTTTAAGAGAAAAAGATTCAATGATTGTCGATTTTATTTCTAGGGAAACAATCTCAAAGGTGTTTATTTTGTTTCAAATGAAACAATTTCAGGATTTTTGTTTAAAGGGGAAACTGTCTCACGCGAGACGAATCAGCTTTGAAAATCTCAAGTGATATTAATTTTGTTTCAAGTACAACAAATTTAAATTTGTATCTCAGAGAAAAAAATGTCTCAAGCGAGACGAAATTTGTTTTTTTAAAAAACAACAATCTCAAGTGAGATTAATTTTGTTTCAAGTGAAGCAAATTCAAAATTTGTATCTCAAAGGAAAAATGTCTCAAGAGAGAAATTTGTTTTAAGATAAATTGTCTTAAGTGAGACAAAATTTGTTTTTCAAGAACTGTCTCAAGCGAGACAAAATTTGTTTCGAAGGAAACTACCTTAAATAAGACAAAATTTTGTTTCAAAGGAAACAAACTCAAATATTTTTCTAAAGAAATTGTCTAAGAGACAAATATTTGTTTCCAGGAAAAAAAAACAGCTCAAATGATACTGATAATCTGCTTATTCCTGCTGATGGAATATCTTCAGAAGAGACGATTGTTGACTTCAAAAAGTCAAATCTGTGGATGTCATTTCTTCAAATTAGAGATATCTAGTCATTTCCGAGCTTTGATTTCCTGAGAGATCAAAATGATGTATTTATGAATGACTAATCTTTGATGTTATGATGTCATGATGAAGTTTGTATTTTATTTGTCCTCAAAAGAGGGAAACTCAAAGTGTTTATTGCACATGATGATAAACGTTTGATGCAAAGATGCAAACTCATGTAACATGTATGTTAGTGTATGTATGTATGTACATATATGTTGATGTATGTTTTTTCTCGAGCTGAAAGGAGAATGGTTGCGAGCAGACTTCACTCTATCATTGATTCAGTTTGTCTTCATTTCCACCATGGTGTACTTTGCAAACCTTGACCTGAGACCAATTTTTTTTGCCCCATCAAATTTTGCCCCACAAATTTGTCTTCTCTTGCCCCAGCTTCGATCTTGAGCTTTGGAGAGATATTTGTCGAATACCAAGATATGCCTCCAGAGAGATTATCTTGTTTGGAAATGTTTTTCTTCTTCTTTTATTTTCAAAAGTTTGAAAATATCAATTGGATGAGTTCTGAAAGACGTTTAATCAAAGATTTGAAAATATTGCCCCTTTCTAGGTTTCACAATTGACAAATCACAAAAATATAAATTCATTGAATATCAAAAATCAAATGCTCTTTTAATCTTTGATAGCTACAAATCTTTGACAAATAACCAGATTGAAATGTTTTTTTAGAGGTTAGCAACCTAAATTCTAGGGTTTGTTTCCTCTATTTGGTCATCGTGAAGATAATGACGTACCCCTCTTTCTTGATTTGGCATTTTAATCGGAGGCGAACAAAATGACCAACTAGCATAGTCACTTGCTAAACTCTTTAGAACACTTCTATTTCAGCTCTCTGAAATCTTCCATTTGTTCAAGCTTCGTAGACTTTCCTAGTCAAGGTAGTGCAGAAATATCGGTCTAAAAATGAGATTTCTGAGTGCTCGTGTGAAGTCGACTATAACAGGCGTTCCTCAACTCCCTTAGTCCATATTCACCGAAACTCCTTATTTAGTAAATTTGATTTAATTTGCCATTGTTTGGCTAGCTGAATTCAGCTTTATTGTATACATAAATTTTATAATTGCCTTTATCAGGCTAGCTGAAGGATTCATGTCGTCACAAAGTCTTCGACTTGACAATCACAGTGGAGCAAACACCGGATTGCCAAGTACCCGATCAATGTCATGGTTTGAATGCAATATATTCAAAGCCAGGGCTTTTGAGTTTCTCTATTACCAATTGCTTTAGCGGAATAACTCAGCTTTATTGTATACATATATATGTTTTTTTTTGGTTTACGGATTCCATTTCTTAAGCTCGCTGAGGAAAACCTGTTATAGTCTTGGTGTTTGTTGAAGATCATAAAATCTCATCGTTAGAGTTTAATTCCCAAGCAACTGACCTAAACTAGATTCATCTACGTGGCCATTCCATCTGAGAAGATTATGCTCATCATTGAACGTCATTAACAGAGGTAAAATTTAATTTGCTTTGCAATTTCATGTGCTAGTTGCCCCATTTCATCTGCTCCTAACACATACCTGAATGCCCAGATGATTGACTGTTCATGCAAGGAAAAACAAACTAACTTGGTTTTTTCAAGAGAAAGGTATATAGTCTGATATAACTTTCTAGATTAGGATCAAGGGGTCCTTGTTTTGCTGGGATTCAATCTTGTCATTTGTCATAGATTTATAACCTCAATTATTAAAAAGCTTTTAATTAAAATGATATTCAAAGAATTCAATATTAAAATTTGCTCATTGTTCATTTCCTAAGAAGGAAGCATTTTATTGAAAATGTTCACACGTCAAGCGACTTACAAACATTCACATATAGAAAAAGAAAAACAAGATCAAACAATATGTCATGCATGAGAATGCAACAAAATCTCCTGATGGATGCCACGACCGACTTCCAATCAGAATGCCCCATCACACATTGAACGTTAATGCCCCTGAATCGATCAGATCTTGGACCTTGCACTTTAATGCCCTACAATTCTCAGTGGTATGCCCTGATATCCCAATATGATAGCTGCAAATGGCATTAATATCATGGCATTCAGGATATGGGTCAGTTCTTGGTTTGGATTGAACTGGAATCACCAGGTTGTTCTCAATTAGCACTGGGAGCAATTCCTCATATGTCATTGGAATTGGATCGATGCATGTCTTTTTACGAAAAACATTATGAGACACAGTCCCCAGACTAGTTAAATCCACTAGACTGACCTCAGCTTTTTCCTCAATGTCAGTATGGCTAGTACCACATATCTGACCATTCTTGATAGCTCTTTCAATCATTTCTCCACACATGACGATGTCAGAGAAACTCCTAGTGGCAACCCCTATCATGTAATCGATATAAGGAGACTGTAATGTATCTATGAATAGAGTGATGAACTCTCTTTCAGTCATTGGTGGATGCACTTGAGATGCGACATCCCTCCATCGTTGAGCATATTGTCGGAAACTCTCATCACTCCTCATCTCCATATTCTGCAGCGTTATTCGATCAGGGATCATATCAATCATGTGCTTGTATTGGTTCAGAAAGGAACTAGCCAAATCTTTCCAAGAGCGGACTTGAGCACGACTCAGTTGGTTATACCACCTAGAAGCAGGTCCAGTCAGACTGTTTTGGAAGTAGTGGATAACATCCGATCATTTTTAGTGTATCCAGTCATCCTTCGAATAAACATCGTGAGATGGACATTAGGGCAACTGGTTCCATCGTACCTTTCAAACTCAGGCATCTTGAATTTGGGCGGGAGCACCAGGTCAGGAATAGCAACTAGTTCTATTGCATCCATCCGTTGTGAGAGTTTTGTCCTCCATTCCCTGGAATGTCTGCACCACTGTTTCAGATTCTCCGGGATCTCTTTATGACTCTTTTCATTTGGGGCTTGGAAGCTTATGGGGTGAAATAATTATTTGGGGACTAGCGTGGGCTATCACACATCGGAGGTTCCTCCGGTCGAGGAAATCTTCTCTTTGCTTCTTCCTTGGTTGAGCTCATCCATTTTTGTTACCATTTGGCCAACTAGGTCTTTTGGTTTTGCAGGATACGATCCACAATGGTCTTTTGCATCTGCTCCATTTTAAACTCCCACTCACTTGCATCTTTTGCAAACTCTCGTTCAACTCTTTCTTTAATTCCTCAAATTTTGCATCCATTCTCAGTACTATGTGAATGCAATTGCACAGTTAGAAGTGCTTCCTCAAAGTTTCCAACAAGGTACGATTAATGCATGTAAACCTGCTTAAATGAATGTTTTGCAAAATGCAAATGCATAAATGTTGACCCCAACGATGAATATCTTAGAATAATTTTCACCAGAGATGAAAGCCTTCGCCTCACAAGACAATCCACTTTATAGACATGCATTCGCTTAGATGCTGAGTCTGAAATAGATCGCTGCTTCGTCTCGGATCTTCGTCTTCGAAAACGATGCCCCTCAAGCGTTTCTGTAATCTGACTCCGTTAATGCCTCGGTGGTAATGAGGTCGGTGTGTCGCTCTTTGATAACTAGCGATGAAATGATTGTAGATAAGACTCCACTGCTAGATTACTCCTTGAATCAGTGGATCATCATCTCAGTATTGAATGATGCACGATCTTCGAGCTCACTGCTTCGTCTCGGATCTTTGTACTTGGAACCGATGCCCCTCAATGCTCTGTAAACTAACTCTATTAATACCCCGGCTATGCTGAAGTTTTTGCTTCACTCCCTGATGGTTAACGATGGAATAATTGTGGATGAGAATCTACTGCTGGATTACTCCTTAGATCAGTGGATTATCATATCAGTCTCGAATGATGCACGATCTTCGAGAAAATCTCATTCTTGTACTCTGGACTTCTTTTTAGCCCTCGATGCATGTCTGTGTATGCGATCGCTCGATTGAAAACTTTTATCTCTTCTTGTGAAAATTTTCTCTCGAATATCCCCTTACGGATCAACACTTTTGCATTATGATGATGCAATGCAATGCAATGCAAATGACAAAATGACACAAACAAAAGAGAAGAAATAAGTTAGTATACACAAACAAAAGAGAAAAATAAGTTAGTACATGTAAAATAATTGATAAAAAATGTAATTCAGAGATGAATATAACACCTTCCCGTCATGATATCTACCCGAACATGCTTTCAATAAATAACATTCCTACCTAGACATGTTATCTACCCAAAATGATTTTTTTCAAGAAATTAATCCTAACTGCATGGTATCTAGTTCGCATGCTTTTATTTAACCTAATTTAAAGCAAAAAGGAAAGGTTCATAAATGCTCCTTCTTTGTGTACACTTAGTTTGGGTACCTACTGACGGACAGAGGTTCGATATAACTATACCTAGGGTGACCGCTCTACAGCTCACTATATGCATGGAATCGGCTCTAACAGGAAAATGAACTCGAATTGTCCTTGATGTCGGTGCCCCTTTGGGCCGCCAAACCCTCGATCCTCACCCATTATAGGTTTCAAGCGGAACGAGTTCAATTCGAGGGGATTCACTGCCTTATACCTATGCGAGGAATAAATTCCTACGAAGGTATAAGGTATGTATCTCATGGGTTATTTGCTAAAACTCATACGAAGAATAAATTCTTACGAGAGTAAAGCATTCACCCTGACTAATTTGGATCGAAGCTCTCGTGTCTAGAGCTTATGTTATGCTAATGCGAGTGATGCGTGTGAGGAGGAACATACCTACCTTCGACCCAAAAGGAAAACAAAACAAGGAAAAAAATGATAAAATCTTGACAAAGCTGAAAGCCAAAAATAAATGTTAGTATGACAAAAAACGAAGCAATTAAAAATTTCAATAAACGGATCAAAAGTTAACTATGTACTCAAACTTATAATTTCCACTAAGACGACAATGTGTAAGCGACCTACAGCTTGACTCTCTAAAAAAGTCCCCAGCGGAGTCGCCAAGCTGTCATAACCATTTTTTTATAAAAAATAATTTAATATTATTTTAAAAAACGATTATGACTTTAATTTGGAAAGATTGGGTGATTTTGAATTGATTTGAATAAAATTGAAAAGAGTCGCCATCGACCTTTAGGTTAGGTAGGTCGAATACCTAAAAACGTCTTTTAAAACAATTTTAAAAAAATCATTTTATAAGACAAAATTTGGTATGCGTCACCAAAGATTCGATTAAATGGATTCGGGAATCGGTTACGTGTAGAGAAGGATTAAGCCCAAAAACTGGTACTGGATCGCTTACACGTTGTCGTAAATGGCAGAACTTATAAATCGAATATGAAATTAAAATGTGATCCATTTATTGAACATTGATTAATTTGATTCGAATTAAATAAATAGAGAAAATTCTTTAACTTGAAAAGAAATATCAAAATTAGCAATCCTCCATCGGAAAAGCTAACTCTAATATTTCTTATCATTATTAGAATATTCCCTTCTCATTGATATATATGCAAATCGAATATAAATGAAATTAACGTTTGCATTCAAACAAAAATGAAATAAATACTGAATTAAAAAACACACATTGCATTATTAAAATAAATTAATTAGTAAAATATACTCGACTTGTTGCAAGTTCCTATGTCGTTAAAATGCCGTATCGGATCGTACCACTTCGACCAAGTGGTACTTTCCACGCCCATTCTACGCATACGTGTTCTTGAAAATATAATCGAATATTTCATACATAGATAAAAATATAATAAATGTAATTGGAAATACAAAATAAAATATTCACATTACTAAAAAACATTATTTACATAATACAAATAACCGAATAACAAGTACAATAAAATCATCATAAATGAATAAAATAAAATATTCACAAATGTCAGGGATAAATTCGAACATTAACAAAAATACCTAACATATAAAATCAATGACTAAAATGAAACTATTACAAACATTGGGACCAAAGTCAAGTATCCACAAAAATGACATAATATACATTAGTAGGACTAAAATATAAACAAGGAAACATAGATGCCCAAAACAAAAGAAAATAAAATAGACATTAAACCAAATATATTAAAAAAACAGAAAATGACTAAAATAAAAGCAATTAGAACTTGAAGCCAAAAATTAAAAAATGCAAAGTTATATTCAGTGATTAAAATAAAATAATTACACAATACGAGATCAGATTCCAACATTCACGAAAGTAGTAATATAAAAGAGTAAGGACTAAAATGAAATAAACAGAAACATAAAAGATCACAGAGTAATTAAACCAAACATCAGACAATGACTAAAATAGAATATATACGAATATGGTGACCAAATTCAAATAACAGTAAAGATAATAAAATGCCTGGGATCAGTGATTAAATTGAAATATTTGAAAATATTAAATCCAGAATCAAATATAGACAAATATGATATAAAACATGAACAGTGACTAATATATAACATTTGCAAATTTCATGACCAAATCCGAATATCAAAGGAAAATGCACAATAAACTGAAACAGTGACTAAAACGAAATAAATATAAATATCACAACCAAATTATAATATCAGCAAACATAATATACAAATTAATGACTGAAATGCAATCATTAAAAACTAAAAGACTCGAAATAAAACAATAATAATTTCATTAAATGACTTAAATAATGCGGATACAAAGGATTAGGGACCAAAAGTGTGGTTTACCCCTTTTAATATGAGAAACACGGGTAAGATGTTACAAAGATGCGAGGACCAAATAGGCTATTTACCCTTTCATGCTGAAACACGCATACCCTGAACCCTTAAAACGGCGTCGTTTGGGATCAGACATATAAAGCCAACCGAACGGCCAAAATCCTTCCAACTCCCTCATTTCTCTCGTCTGCCCCTCTCTCTTAAAACAGAGAAAAAAAAATGCTCTCAAGGTTCTCTCCCTCTCCGCCTCTGTCTCCGCCGTGGAGAGAAAATAAAGAGGCCACGGCCGGCGCAGCCGGCGGCAATGGCGCAAGAAACCTTACCCGAGACACCCTATGGCCTTTCCCCTCCCCCTCTTCGAAAAAAAAACCCTTTAATACCCAAACAGAAACCGAAACCCCCTCCTATTCGAACCCTAGATCGTAGAAAGGTGAAGGTTTTACCTTCGATGGCGGCCCCTCCTAACTCCGGTGAGGAAGCAACGATCAAATCTCCCTAAAGGTAAGATCTCTATCTCGTTTTTTCTGCTTTTTACTGTTGGTTCTCAATTTGGTTTTACTCTCTGAACTTCTTTTTTTTTTTCGGTTATCACCGAATGTCCCCTTTAAAATGGTTGCCTCTTCTCCTTTTTGTTGTGGTTGCTGAATGATGATATCTAGAACTTAGGGAAATTATGGGTTGATTTGGTAGCTGGTGAAATCCTGAATTTTCGGGATTTATTTCGTTTTTAAATAGGTTTTCAATTTAGGTTAACTATTGCTCTGATTTGGTTACTGTTTTTACAGGAACCGGTCACTGTTTGATGGATGGACTCTATCAGCTCCGATGACAGCGGCGGTGAGGGAAGCAGTCGGCTTGAGCGGCGGCTAGAGATGAGAAGTTGAAGGCGGCGGCTGATGGAGTTGATGATATTTAGGGTTTCAAACCCTAATTACTTTGGGTTACTGAGCGGGCCTGGGATTGGTATTGGGCCTGAACCGGGTCTGGGCTCCAAGTCTTGTAATTCTGGGTCGGGCTTGGTATCTGATGGGCTTCGGGTTTGAGCCTGCAAAAATTTGTAATATATTAATAACAATAAATAAGCATAATAATAATAATAATAATAATAATAATAATAATAATAATAATAATAATAATAATAATAATAATAATAATAACAATTACAATTAGATAGAAAAGACCCGGACAAAAACGGGTGTCTACACACCATACACAAAAAAGATTAAAATGATTAAGGATAAATACATCACAACAAAAAAAAAACAACTCGAATATAGCATAATTCAATTTATATAAAGATTAATCATCCACTTTGTCAATTAAGTTTAGTTTGATTGACACTCTTATAAGTATAATATATAAGTTTAAAAACTTAATATTTATTGATTTAATATTTTATTTATTTTCGGCGATGCTTTTCACCCGACAAACAAATATACGAGGTCATCTTGTGTCTTCAAAATTTGTTCCCTCATCCCTGTATGTAACTCTTTTTTAGATGTTTTCACGGTCGATTTTGAATTCTTTGATAAAGTTGAGTTATTAAGAAACACAAATAAAGATCTTCCCACAAAACACAATAAAAGAGTTAAATAATAATAACAGATTATTCAAAAATTGATCCAATTTTTTGCACAATAAATATCTTCCCATGGAACACAACGTTACACAAAGCTGCTAGCAAGAATTAACTATGGCTGTGGTATCAATTTAAGTATGGGGGTTTCTTGTTTTTCTTCCGAAGAAAAGCAGCTTTTTAAACCCTTTGGCTGCTTTGGGAGAGTTTTGACTGGTGTTCCATTTCTTCCTGGAGTGCATGGCAGGTTCCATCTCCATTACTTCATTCGGCGGGGGCGGAGTCGAGATGATCTCTATTTCAGAAATAATCCTAGGTGACTCATCTTTTTCATTCATTTTTCTGTTCATTTCGGCATTTACAGTCGGAAATGTCACGTTTTTGTTAGGCGATGGTGGCACGGGATCAACTGTGATAATCTCAGGAATATCTTCATTACAATCTTCTGCATTTACATGATCTAATTGCACTGGCTTGTCATCTTCAGTAAGATGGTTCCCCTTGGAGCTTTGAGAAATTTCATTTTCTTCGGGTGTTACGATCGATGTAGTACTCTGCAACTCTTGGATGTCTTCGGAATCATCGACAATAGCAGTTTGCTGAGTTGCTTCGGGTGCGACTGTTACCTCTTTTGAGTCCTTTCCATGTGCATCGGAGTCATTGGAATGAGCTTTATCTGTGCCACTTTTCTTATCTTCAATAAGATGGTTCCCCTTGGAGCTTTGAGATATTTCATTTTCTTCAGGTGTTACGATCGAAGTAGTACTCTGCAACTCTTGGATGTCTTTGGAATCATCAACCATAGCAGTTTGTTGAGTTGCTTCAGGTGCGACTGTTACCTCTTTCGAGTCCTTTCCAAGTGCATCAGAGTCACTGGAATGAGCTTTATTTGTGCCACTTTTCTTATCTGAAGCTTTTACTTTGTTTGTGCTTGATTTAGTCTTCCGAGACCCGGTTTTCGAAGAACCACTGTCCTTCAATGTCGACTTTTTCGGCTGGTTTGGTCTCGATTCAGCTGATGAGACCTTCGGAGTGTTCTGAGCAGTTGCAAGGCGTTCGATAGTGGAACGTCTTAGAACTGGCTTTGGTACTTTCTTAGTCTCCTGAGTCTCGGGTTGATTCTTCATAGGAGTTGAGGAGGCTTTATTTTCCATGGAGTTTCTCACGGAAGTAACCGAGTTAAAACCATTAGCTGCACTTCTCTCCGCGATCCTCTTCTGGCGCTGAATCCGTAACTCCTCGATTTTCTTTCGAATCTCGTCTTCCTATTCAAAAGCAGGCAAGGCAGAGGGCAAGAAATTAGAAACATGTTAATGAATAGAGAATTGGAAGTTTTTATTGTTCAAGGCCATAAAAAATGCCATATGCAACGCATTAAAATTCTTGACCACATTAAGCATTGCAGTTTAGAGCCTAGAAAAGGTAGATAAATACCTGATCAAATCTAGATTTCCAGACTGCGGTTCTGCTTCCGGCTGGTGGTTTCCTGATCTTTGATGACATGTCTGATTTGCTCTTAACAAGTGATCGGTTCGGAACTCTAGATCGAGATTCTTTATTCGGAAGTTTCCCTTTGGAACTTCCATCTGTTTTACCATTAGTATCCTTGTCATCAGCACCGGTTGTTGTGATATCCGAATGTCTACTATTTGCTTCAGCGGATAATACATTCATTTCGTAGTCAATTTCTGGAGTCCGAGAAGCGACGGCATCTATGTCAGCTGAATCACGTCCAAGCATCATGTAAAGGTCATCCGGTTCATATGGAACAGAAGCAGCCTTTTGTAAATTTCCTGCTTTGCCATTTTCGTATCGAGTAGTTTCTATTTCAGGAACCATACCTACACCAACCCTCAACTGAGAATCAAGTTGATCTTCTTCCATTGGTGGACCTTGAATCATCAAAGAGTCGTCTACAAAAGCATCATTCTTGTTTACCTCAGTGTCAAAACGTTCGGCAGCTAACGAAGACGAATTATCCCCATCAAACATTTTGATGCCTATGATCTCATCCTGGTTTACTGATTTATCCAGTTGATTGTTCATAAACCAGTCTCCTTCTTTTCGACTTTTGGTCATTGTAGATTCTGTGGTAAAATCTGAGATACCATTCCGAGAACTGATCCAAGAATCATTGCCTTGTAGCATTAACAACTCTTCATTTGTGCTTTCTCTTTTCTTAAAAACCTGTCCATCATACTCATTTGTTCTGTAGTTTCCACCTCGAGTTTCACCTTCATTACCTCTATTCATCTTTGCGCCTAGAAAAGGATCACCGGACACAACAGGCTGAATTCTTACTGACTCAGAGTTTGGCTCGGAACCCGTGTTTACAAAGTATTCATCTTGCAACCTTGCAGGGTCTGAAGAATCCAAATCCTTCTCCTGCAAGAGAAGGTTTTGGAAAGCATCCCAGGGATTGTTTGCAGTGGCTACCTTCGTTTCATGTTCATCGTCATCGTATGAAACAGTGTCTCTATGCTTGCTTTCCTCGTGCTTCTTATGATGTCGCGAGGTCAATTTATGTTGTTTGTTCAATGATCCAACAGCCTCCTCTACTTGCTGCTTGTGTGAATCTCCATCAATGAACTCATCCTCATCAGAAGCCTCTTCAGAATCACTGTCCTTTTCCCCATTCCTCTTGGAAGAAATGTAATTAATGTTACGGATGACTACCTTTCTTGAGCCTTTCTTTCCGTGCTTTTTCTTTCGAACCTGCTGTCCTGGTTCACCCTCAGAGCTTGAATCACTAGGCTCAGTCGATTCATCTTGCTTCGAAGTTTCATCCACCTTACGACTTGAAGACTTCTTCTTGCTCCTGGAAGATGATCTATGACTTCTATGATCATCCAGTTCCCAACCACGAGAAAGACTTGAATCCTCTACATACGGAGGCCAATTCATATTCCCGGGATAAAATGGGGCCGGAGCATGCATACCGGGAAAATGATAGCCTTGATATGGAGGCATTTGTTGAAATCCAGGACCCTGAAAATTGTGCATGAAGTGAGGAACATGGGATGGCCATTGCATTTGTACTTGAGCTTTTCCATCTGTAGAACATGTTAAAATGATTTCAGAACATCAACTATCATTCAAGGCCGAAGAAATTTCGGTATCTGTCCTTACCTGGGTTAATATCCGCACTCCCTGCATCAGATGCATCGGTTGAACCATTCTGCTTGGCATTAGAGAAATTCATCATCGGATTTTCATTCGGATCATTTTCTTCCCCAGCAAGTACAATCCCGGTTGTTCCGAGGTAAGACAAGTCTGGTCTAGGACTTGCTTGCATTGCTTCTAATTCAGCCATCCAAAGCCTATCTTCATTCTTTCTCTTGCATAAGTCCATGAAATTTATGCAGGCTTCCCTGACAGATCAAATAAAATCGACTATATTTCCGATTATCGAAGATAAATGGCCCTTTATTCTATGTACAACATCAAACATACATGTATATAATGTTTATTCCAAGAAAAAGAAGACAGAATATTATATAAATGATAATTCTATGCAATACAAAAATGGTCAGAATCTGCATAAAAACAAAGCTTCCATGGCTTCGTCTAGTGCTGCAATTTTTGAAATGAATTCAGTGTCTTTTTCTATAAAGAAACGGAACATACACCATGAAGATCCCATTATGTCTAGTGGTCATATTCTAGTTTTATCTATAGAAATGCAGTCCTAAGTCCTTCTGACCGATGGAAATCATTTATTACCTTAATCGTGAAGCACCGAAAGCATCCGCGAAAGATATGAGATCATCAATATTATCGGGTTCATAACCGGCAACCAAGGCACGAGCATAAGCCATTGCTTGTTCTTTAGATAGTACTTTCTTCCGAGTTTCCAAAACTCGTTGAAGTCGAACCCTGCAGGTTAACCTCAGATGAGCAATTGCTGCATTGTAATGCAAGAAATGTACCGAGAAAAATCAAAGCTGGTGTGGGTAAATTGCAAAGAAAAATTTAACTTACTTTGAATTTTCTTCTTGAACAGCATCCCCAGTCCCATTGAATTCACCATTTGACTGAATCGAATCACCAAAATAAACAGCCTTGAATTAAGAATTTAAGATATCAAAACTTTAAAACCAAACAAATGTTTAGCAGATCAGACAGAACATACCTTTGATGAAGAAAAAGTTTTCTGGAAATTCGCTGAAATAACTGATTCGGTTCCTGCCAAATCCAAATTGGATGAAAATCAGACAATTTGCTACATTACCGTATGCGAGCAAAATTAACACTCATGACAATCCTGAGTCAATATCTAACACCATATATTCTGAAATAATCCAAGGCCACCCGTAAGAGGTAGACATTTAGTTTGGTGGAGTTCGAATCTCAATATCTACAACCTGTTATCCGACGTTCAGATTCGAGTCCGAATAACTTACCACTTACGGACTTACCATTTAGTCATGACAAACATGATTGGCTATACTATTACAAGACTGAATTCCAAAGCATAGAACTCAACAAAACTGATGAATTTCATAAACCAAAATCCACCCTAACATCAAAAGATCTTCATAATATAATGAAGTAACAATAAAAGATCAAGTTCAGACAAGGAAATTTTGGTCCAAACATACCATCTGTCTCTGTAACCACAGCAGCATGTGCTGCTTCATTTGATTGAATTGAATTTTCAATCTGCTCAATCTCTCTCTCGACTGTCACGAATCTCTCAAGAACTTTTGGTGTGCTAACAAACCTCACAAACCTGTTACGACCGTCAGTTCAAAAACAGACAACCTTAACAAGAGACATCCGAAGTTTGAATCTCGATATCGGTAACATTTTTACCTTTGCAGAGTGCCTTTAGTGAACCAGGAAGGAGTTGAGCCAACTGGACGAAGAGTTATAGAGTAGCCACCTTTTGATAACTGATCTTTAACAGCTTTGAGATGTGAAATGAAGGGATCTAACAAACCAGATGCCAATTTCTCATTCTCTTTTCCAGCAAAAATCACCAGATCACATCTTTAATTTCAGACAAACCAAAACCAAATCAGATGAAATGACAACAACAACAACAACAAAAACAGAGAATCAAATTAAGGTTACCTGGTTCTAGTTGGAGTGAGTCGGAACAAAGTATAATCAAGACGTGTGTTGAAGTCCATAGTTTAGACACAGAGAGAGAAATAAGCAAACACTGAATCTTCATAGGATGAGTTCATCCATTGTTGCAACTTAGTAACAGAAACATATTCCGTTATATGGTTTTTTTTTTCAAGCAAGGTGGTGAAATTATAAACGTTGGGAAGTTTATTTTTTCATTGGACCCTGTGCTGTTTCATTTTTTTTTTGCAGGGTTTAGTTTCTGTTTAGAATGAAGAATGTTACACAAAGTATAGACACTAAAAACCAAACATTAAACATGGAAGTTGCCAGCAAAGAGTTGAGAAAAGGCACTTTAGATTTATCACATGGGAAAGTTATGAAGATCACAGGGAGAAGATGGAAACCGGATTTTTATTATGTCTTTTACGAAACTTGGGTCCCATTCACCGACGTTGTTTCCATCAAATTCATTTTTTACCTCATATTTTTTATAATGACGAGAACATGATCTTAATTTAGAGTCTTTGCTTTTTGTTTATTTAAGTTGGATCAAGTTAATATTTGATGATTACTTAATGATTTTTTATAGGTAGAATATTTTTATTGACCTCTGATTTTATGAGTTTAGTCATTTTAGTCCTTAAACTTCTATTACATCTCTTTTAGTCTTTAAATTTTAACCTTTTTCATAAAATTGATCCAGATATGACGAAATATTAACACCATTAAGTTAATGTTAATTATATTGTCATTTTTTAATGCTTCATAAAAAATAGTTATTTTATCCGTATTGAAACACTAACATAATCTTTTTAATATAATTTTAATTTTTTATGGTGTGATAGAAAAAAATTTAACATTAGTTAACATTTCAATAAGATTAAATAACTTAAACATCTGTACAATCCATTACTGTTATATCATTTTAGGTGAATTTGACAAAAATAAGAGTTTGAGTCTTAAAAGAGACGTAATAAGTCATCGGTGGTTAGAGAAAATGTTGTTCTCCATTGAAATACAGAGTTCGAGTAGTTACGACTACAAGGTGTGGTGAGTTGTCAATAGTTAAGAAAATTATAAACAAATACCACCTTATATTTATTTCAGACTACTAAAAAGGAGACATAATAAAAATTTAAGGATTAAAAAAAATTAAATTGATGAAGTTAAAGGGTAAAAAAATATTATTTTAACCTTTTACCATGTGATATTATATAATTTATTGACCTAACATTAATTGTTTTTGGTATATAAAAGTTTATGTAAGGGTGACTCATCTAGTTAAGTGCTAGGGCATACATGAGATCCAATTGAGATTCAAATAAGAATTTACAGATTGTCCACTAAGAGTAACGGTGGTAGGATTCGAACTTGGCAGAACATTAAATTATAAATTTTATTTATGTTATTTACAAACTCAGTTCCTTTTTCTTCTTTCCATTTTAGGTTAGTTTTTAAGAGAAAAAGATTATTAAATACTAGTATTAAGTTTTCCTATATAATATTTATAAAATTTAAATAATTATTTAATTAATAAATCATTAATTAACATATATATTAATAGAAAAGTAATTCTATAAATACCTTTAAAATATCGACAAATGTCTTTTCCATTTATTTTTAAATTTTAAATATATTTATCATAATTTTATGATACATAAATAATATTTCTTAATTATTACCCCAAATAACAATGAATTTATGCCAATGAGGCTTTATAATTATAGCTGCATAAAGAAAATGAGTGCCAAGTTATCCAGGCAAGCCCAAAATTTAATTGTTGGTTCTACTGTAGCTTTCAAATTAAACATGCCATTAATTGTTTAATTATCAAAGATTTCAGCCCAAACTTTACTTCATTCTTGCTTATTACCCACTTTTCCCTTGCATTTTCCGAATTTGAGCCAACTATCGTATACGTGTTTCGTTTCGTATATTATAAGTATTATAATTTAAATTTATACCTTATTGTATATTGAGTACGATTGTTTTATAAAAGAAAGTTTCAATATCGTAGTCCGACCTAACTTACGAAAAACGAAACGAATTATAAAACTATAATTTAAAAATATCTTCTTTGGCATGTCCTTTTCAAGATTCAATCGCATACTACAAAGCATATATAAATATATTATATGCAAAATTAATATTTTTTATATATTATATTTTGATTTAACTCGGATTATAAAACGTGCATATATAAATACTATATACAAAATTAATATATTTTTTATATTATATCTTGACTTGTACTGTACGAATCGATTTATATTTTGTTTTATAAATTTATATATTATGATATGAAAGAAAATTTGAAAATAATAATTTTATTGTATTTGGATAAATAAAAAACAATTTCAAATTATATTATCATTATAAGAAAAATATCACATCCTATGAATTTAATTGAATCGAGAAGTGGTAAGTAATATTAAATGTTAGTAGTTAGTTACGGTGTATCCAAAGATTTCGGTGAACGGGCCTTTTTCTTTTTCAAATTTATTATTAATTGTTTACATTAGTTGTCAAATGTTACCTAATATGTTATTAATTGCTTCCCCCCACCCAATAAATCTACATTCAATAATATTTTGAAATTTAGGATTTATATTAAAAGATTAAAAATGTTAAAGTTGTAACAATAATCTGTTGATCTAGTGAGATGAGATAGTAGATCTCTTAACTAAGGTTAGAGGTTTGAGTTGTGACTTTTACGAATGGGACAAATTGGAGTGGGAGGGTCACCGCCATTTTGGACCTTTGTAATACGTTATTCGGATTAGTCGATTAATAGATCGAGTATCATAATTAATTAGAAAATGACAGTTTATAATTCCGTTGATTATTGAACTTGGATGGAAAATACAAACTAATTTAGTTTACTTCATACGGGTTGGTTTATAAACAACTCAAGGTGAAGTCCTGATGACATGTTGGATATCACATAACAGTTGCATTTGCTTCGGTTCTAGCAATTATGGTATGTCTGTTTTTCTCAAAATGTTGAGATTTCTGTCTTCCATTGATGAACCTTAGTCTATTAATTCCTGCACTGCTTCTGTTTGCAAGAAAATATTGAAACCATTTAGCGGAAAGCTTCGGAGTTCACTTAATAGTTTGACGATCACGTAGGTGGTGTTTGTTTTTGCAGAGGTAAAAGGTCTGCAGTTTGCGAACCACATCTGCAGCAGAATATGTGGACCAAAAGTCTGCAGTCTGCAAGAAGAAAACTGTTTATTTTTTAACGTCTGCAAACTGCTAAAATAAACTAAAATATAAATAAACTGATTTTTTAAACTTAAAAGAGTTTTGCAATATTGAAATTTAAATAATTTTAGTTTTATAATACTAATTTAAATAATCCATACAACTACAATAATAAATTTTTTAAAATAAATCAATCCATATTTTAAAATAAAATTTTCCATATTTTAAAATAAATCAATCCATATTTTAAAATAAATCAATCCATATTTTAAAATAAAATTTTCCATATTTTAAAATAAATCAATCCATATTTTAAAATAATTTTTTTTTTCATATTTTAAAATAAATCAATCCATATTTTAAAATAAACCAATCCATATTTTAAAATAAATCAATCCATATTTTAAAATAAAATTTTAAAATAGATTTAAATAATTTTAATTTATTTAAAGAGGTTTGAAGACCTTTGAAGACATAAAACTATGTCTGCACCAAGAAGACTTCGTGCAGACATTAGAAGAGTTTTTGTCTTTTAAAAAAACAAACGGTTTGCGAAGCCCAATGTCTGCACGTGATCTACGCGGCGTAGACATAAAAACTTTGCAGACATTGCTCAGTAAAAACAAACACTACCGTAGTAAAGTCCGACCTTTAAACTGTAACCTCCTGCCCATTCAAAGTTATCCATCAGGCTCCACAGAACGTATCCTCGTACATCAGCACCCTTCATGTCTCAAATTGACAACCCATCTTAATGTTAATAGAGCTTTTATTTTCGGGTTTTAAAGTCAGATGCAAGTGTTGGATACAGGTATATATTTATTGAGTTACTCAGATGCAAGTGTAGGTTCATTTTTCTAAAGTTTTTGGGTCCTTAAAAGGTCATATTCCCGTACTCATATTCTAATATGCACAGAGGTAAAGAAAGATAAATTGAATTACCTAATTGTTCTGGCCAAAGCAGCAAGGTAGCCCTTGTGGAATTTGATTCGGTTGACATCATGCAGCAAATTTGGAACTGCCTTAGTAAGTGAGGATAATATCCTGCAAGAATGTAATCAAGTTAAAAGGAAATATATATTCATACATATATGGATTGATTGAGAAAAATTATTGATGTTCTACACTAATGTTACAGGTTCAAATTCTATCGGTATCTACGACGACATGCCTAAGACTTGAACTCGGTTGCGTCAGATTCAAAGGATTGGAAGATTATATCTTTGTATCAATGTCTGAAAATTTGTTTGACACGGATCTCCAACATAAATACTTCAAAAACAAATAAAGGGTGGGAGCATCTTAACCTATTGCTACCAAGGCTGCTTTGGAGCTTTGAAAATGGACTAATAGGCTTGAAGTTTGCTATCTACAATTACTTTTAAGTAAAAAAAATTACATAAATTTAAATAAGGTAATTACAAGATTTGAAAACCGCCATGGGCAAAACCTATAGCTCTGCAACTTACCATTCTCTGTTACATATATAGGCATGTTATTGTATCTTTTTGAAATATAATCAACAATCTTCTCCATGCCCCATGGAACGACATAAAATCTTTCAACACCAGTCTGCCAAAATACAGCAAAGTAAACTTGTAATAAACTTCAGATTTGCAAAGTAAACTGTAGTACACGAACTGCCTAGATACAAGCAAGAGCAAGAAAAGGAATTACCGGCTCTCTGATTAGAATGCCATCTCTTTCTCCAGTTGTGTATGCAAAACCTCTGATGAAATGATCTCCACCTAAGATGCAAGGAGAATGGATGCAGTCCTTGGCATCTAATGTTGAATAATGGTTAAGGCCAATAAAATCAATACTGTCTTTCACATAGTTTCTTCAGTGGAAAACCTTGGCAGTTCACTCCTATGGTACTGGCGCATTTCCGGAGGGTAATCTCCAAATACCAATGGATCGAATACCCTGCTTGATGATAACTTAATTCATGTTACATTGAAGAACATGTCTTTACT